TGTAGTACTAAGAAACGTCGCCGACCTGCGTTCCTTCCGACCAACGACGCGTGGATTGCGCCCCAAGCCATGGAGACGGCAGTCGACCTGGTGTCGGCGGACCGGCATTTCGAAGCCGTGAGCGGCATCGCGTGGTTGCGGTTGGGTGGCCAGAGCCAATAGGGGCGCCCCGCTTGATGGGAAACGCATGGTGACATGACGATGAGGAGCGCGAAACCGTCAAAGGCAAACCCCGCTTCTGTGTTGAGAAACGGAGGCAATGTCCTGGCCCGATGTTTGTCGCTGGACTTGGAAGTTGGCCGGGCGGATGGGCGAATTCACGCCATGGCCGGCGTGAGGCCGGACATCGGTCAAACCGTGGTCATTCCGAGAGTGGGCGACAATCTGGCCCAGGCCTTGGCCAGGTTGGATGAGTTGGCCAACGGCGCGGACTTTGCGCTGGGGCACAACCTGATCGCTTTCGACCTGCCCCACCTGAGGGCGGCCAATCCCCGCCTGCGGTTGCTGGATCTGCTTGCGGTGGATACCTTGCGGCTCAATCCGCTGGCCTTCCCCCGCAATCCGTATCACCATCTGGTCAAGCACTACCAGGACGGGTCGCTGATACGGGGCCGCCGGAACGATCCCGAGCTGGACGCCAGGCTTACGCTGGAGGTGTTCGACAACCAGCAAAAGGCCTTCCGCGAAGCGCGGGCGGAATTGCTCACGGCCTGGCACTGGCTTACCACGGCAGTAGACAGCGCGGGGTTCGACCAGTTTTTCGCGTTCCTGCGGGCCTCGCCTCGGCCGTCCGACGCTGAGGCCCGGGATGCCATTCATCGGTGCCTGGCCGGCAACTCCTGCCTCACCCAGGCCAAGATGGCCGTGATGGATGCGGCACAGCAGGGCTGGGAAGTTGCCTACGCGCTGGCGTGGTTGTCAGTGGCCGGAGGCAACTCGGTGATGCCGCCCTGGGTGCGTCATCAATTTCCAGGAGCGGGCCGGCTGGTTCGCCAGCTGCGGGATAACGCCTGCAGCGATCCCGACTGCGACTGGTGCCGGGAACGGCACGACGTCCGGCGGGAGCTGTCGCGCTGGTTCGGCTTTGACGACTTCCGGCCCGAGCCGGCGGGGGAGGATGGGCGGCCGCTGCAGCGAGACATCGTCGAGGCGGCCATGGCCGGAGAACACGCGCTGGGGATCCTCCCCACCGGCGCCGGCAAGTCGCTCTGCTACCAGCTGCCGGCGCTGACCCGCTACGACAGGACCGGCGCCCTGACGGTGGTGATCTCACCGCTGGTGGCCCTGATGGCCGACCAGGTGGCGGGGCCTGGAGTCACGCGGCATTGGCTCATGCGTCTCCGTCAACGGGCTCCTGTCCATGCCGGAGCGTGCCAACGCGCGGGAGCGGGTGCGCCTGGGCGACGCCGGCATCCTGATCATCCCGCCGGAGCAACTGCGAAGCGTGTCCCTGCGGCGGGTCCTGCACCAGCGGGAGATCGGATCCTGGGTGTTGGACGAGGCCCACTGCCTCTCCAGGTGGGGGCACGACTTCCGGCCCGATTATCGCTACGTGGGACGGTTTATCCGGGAGAAGGCGGGACAGGATCCTATTCCACCGGTCTTATGCCTGACCGCCACTGCCAAGCCTGATGTGAAGGAGGAGATCGCCGACTATTTCAAAGCAGAGCTGGGCATCAAGCTCAGGGTGTTCGACGGAGGCGCCCGGCGCACCAACCTGGACTTCGTGGTGGTGCCGACCCGGGGCTCGGCCAAGTTCGACGACATTTACCAGTTGCTGCAGGAGGACCTGCCGGAGCATATGCCGGGCGGCGCCATAATTTATTGCGCCACGCGTCGGCACAGCGAAGAGGTGGCGCAGTTCCTGCAGGAGAAGGGTGTCAAGGCGGACTACTTCCATGCGGGGTTGCCGCCGGAGACCAGGAAACACGTCCAGGAGAGCTTTATCCGCGGCGACCTGCGTGCCATCGCCGCCGCCAATGCCTTTGGCATGGGCATCGACAAACCGGACGTGCGCCTCGTGATCCACACCGACATTCCCGGGTCCCTGGAGAACTACCTGCAGGAGGCGGGAAGAGCGGACGGGATCAGCAGGCGGCCCGCTGCGTGCTGCTCTATTCCCAGGACGACGTGGAGCGACAGTTCGGGATGTCGGCCCGTTCAAGACTGACCCGGCGGGAAATCCACGGGGTGCTGCGGGCGCTGCGCAACCTGGACCGCAGGAAGCGGCTGAACGGCGAGGTGGTGGCCACCGCCGGCGAGATTCTCCGGGAGGACGATGAGGGCGCCTTCGAGCGGGATTCCGCCACCGACGACACGCGGGTTCGGACGGCGGTGGCCTGGCTGGAGGAGGCGGTGCTGCTCACCCGGGAAGCGAACCGGGTACAGGTGTTCCCGTCCTCCCTGCGGGTTGGTTCAATCGATGAGGCGGAGGTGCGGCTGGCGAGGACGGACATCACGAATGAGTACCGGAAACAATTGCTGACCATCTGCCAGTCGCTGTTTCAAGCGGATGCGGACGAGGGCATCTCCACCGATGAGCTGATGGCCGTATCGGGTCTCACTCCGGAGGGTGTGCGAAAAGCGCTCTACGACCTGGAGGCAATGGGCATTGCCAGCAACGACACGGCGCTCACGGCTTTCGTCCACGCGGGTGTGGAGCGTGCCTCGCGGAAGCGCTTCCAGGAGGCTTTTGACTTGGAGCAGGGGTTGATCAACCTGATGCGCGAGAAGGCTCCCGATATGGAGAAAGGTGAAACGTCGACGTTGCATCTGCGCCAGGCTACCCAGGAGCTAAAAGACGAAGGCCATTCCCATGCTTTACCCGAGCTCCTGCGTGGCATCGTGCGCAGCATCGCGGCCGACGGGCGTGGTGAGGGCGGTGGCGGTGGAAGCCTGGGGCTGCGTGGTAGGAACCGGGAGACCCTGCAGGTGACGCTGCAGCGGGAGTGGGGAGCTTTGGCGAAAACGGCCGAACTGCGCCGCACTGCGGCGGGCCTGCTGCTGGATCACCTGCTCTCAACGTTGCCTCCGGGCACTCGGGGCACCGACCTACTGGCCGAGACCACCATGGGGAAGCTGCTGACGGCGGTGAAGTCCGATCTTATCTTGAAGAGCCAGATCAGGCATCCTGACCGGCTGATGGACCGGGCCCTTTTATGGTTGCACGAACAGGAGGTCGTCAGGTTGAACAAGGGACTGGCGGTCTTCCGGCCGGCCATGACCATCCTCCTGAAGCCGGAACAACGGGGTTTCGCCCGGGCTGATTTCGCGTCCCTCCAGTTGCATTACGATGAACAGATCCGGCAGATCCACGTAATGGCTGAATACGCCCAGCATGGTCTGAGTCATACGGCCGACCATCTGAAGCTCGCCATGGACTACTTCATCCTGCCCTGAGCAGGAGTTCCTGGACCGTTGGCTGCCGGACCGGGATCAGGAGATCTCACGGCAGACCACGCGCGAGTCGTGGCGAGCCATCGTGGAGAGCCTGAACAACCCGATACAGCGGCGCATGGTCGCCGACGACCGGGAGCAGACCAACGTGCTGGTGCTGGCCGGACCCGGTTCTGGAAAGACCAGGGTGCTGGTGCATCGCATCGCGTACATGATCAGGGTGAGGCGGGAGAACCCACGCGGCATCCTGGCATTGGCCTATAACCGCCACGCGGCGGTGGAGATTCGGCGCCGCCTGGCTGACCTCATTGGCGACAATGCCCGCGGGGTAACGGTGCTCACCTGCCACGCGCTGGCCATGCGACTGGTGGGCGCCAGTTTCGCCAGTCGAGCCAACCGGTTGGAGCAGGGAGAGTTCCAGGAAGTGATCTGGCAGGCGGTGGCCCTGCTGCGGGGAGACGGATTGCCGTCCGAGGAAGCGGATGAGCACCGGGAGCGGCTGCTGGCCGGTTTCCGTTGGATACTGGTGGACGAGTACCAGGATATCGGACCGGATCAGTACGACCTGATTTCCGCCCTGGCCGGCCGGACCCTGGCGGAGGCCGACGACAGGCTCAGCCTCTTCGCGGTGGGCGACGACGACCAGAACATCTACGCCTTCAACGGCGCGTCAACCGAGTTCATCCGGCGTTTCGGGACGGATTATGGGGCCAGGCCGTCCTTCCTCACCGACAACTACCGCTCTACCGGCAACATCATCGCGGCCGCCAACGCGGTGATCGAGCCGGCGCGAGATAGGATGAAAGAAGACCATCCCATCGTGGTCAACCGGGCGCGGACCCAGGATCCTCCGGGTGGAGACTGGACCCTGCTTGATCCAGTAGCCCGTGGTCGCGTGCAAATTCTGCCGGCTGGCGACAACCCAATCTCCCAGGCACAGGAGGCGGTGGCCGAGTATGTGCTGGAGACCGGCGGCGCTGAGACTCCGGTGGACAGCTTTATCGAATGGCTGGCCGAGTGGGGTCGGGAAGTGCGTCGCCGCCAGCGCGGGTTGTTGCTGCTCACGGCCCACCGGGCCAAGGGGCTGGAGTTTGACCACGTCGTCGTGCTCGACGGAGGTTGGGATCGCGCTACCGAAGGCGAGGATGCCGCGGCGCCTGTACTACGTGGCCATGACCCGTGCCAAACAGACCCTCACGTTGATGCGTTTCCCCGGGAGGCATCGGTTCCAGGATGCTTTGTTGAATACTTCATCGGCCCTGCTCCAACGCGAGCCTGCGGCGCTCACACCGCCCGTGCCAGAGCTGAGCCACTGCTAACGCCGGCTCAGCTTGCGCGACGTGTTTCTGGGCTTCGGCGGTTACCGGGGCCGGAGAATCCAGTGCATGCCGCCATCTCCGCGCTTTCGCCCGGCGACCCGCTTCAGGCGCGTATGGGGGCAGATCGTTGGGAGTTACTGGACCAGAGCGGTACGGTCGTGGGACAACTGGCGAGGGGCTTCAAGGCTGCGTCCGGTGTGCGCTGCGCCTTCGCAACGGTGATGGCAATCGTGGAATGGGACCGCGAGCGTTCCGACCCCGATTACCGGGATGGCTTGCGCTGCGAGAATTGGGAAGTGGTGGTGCCTGAGATCGTGTTCGAGCCGGTTGTCTGACTCCACCGATCTGCTGAGCATGCATATACGCCCGCTCAATTGCCTTGGCCGCTGCAACCGCTCAATCACCGCCTGTAACTCGGCGATGATGGCAATGAGAACATCGCGGTCCACGGTGTGAGGTCCACTTCAGTATCCATGCCCCGTATATGACACCACCACCGCCACCCGTGCCAGCGTTCGGAAACCCGCCTTCGCCCAATTCACCTCACCCAGTCTGAACTGTTACGACCATCGCAACGTCTTGACATCCAAGACAGTTGCTTTTCGCTGAACCTAGACAGTCCCAGTGGTACGCTTTGCCGACGCCCTTGACACGGCGCAGTCTACGCCCACTACCGCTTACATCGGCCGGCTGAATAATAGCGCGCAATGATAAATAATTATTCCGTATATTGACATGGCTGAATACGTTGGATAAACTACGCCACTAATCTAGCTATCGGCGTTCACTACGTATCGATAGCGGTTAACCATGAACAATCCTGTAATAGATACGATTAGCGTTAACCTCAATCTACCTATCGTTCGCGACGGATGCTCGCGCGGTGGTGGTCAGATGAGTTGGTTCAGAATTAATCGCATCAGCCTGTGCGGCCCGGCAATCACGACACTATTAACCCAGATTGTCGCGTGCGGCACGGCCAGCGGATCGGAACCGGAGACTCGGCGGCTCTCGTCAGCCCAACAGCAGGCAGCAGCCCAACACGCAGCAATGCAGGCGTCAGCCGCCTCCGCTCCCTCCGGGACGGGACAGCCGGAGCACGTACCGTGGTCGATGCGTCAATGGAAGTTAAGCAAACATCCCCACCCCGGTCAGCTCACCACGTTCTGGCAGGAGAGTGATGGGGCTGAAATCGTCGACAAACACACGCTGAAAATCCACGCGGGCGTGCCGGTCGTGGCAACCAATGCGGAGCCATGGCACATTACCTCGGGAAGCAGTTCCACGTTCATTTCCAGCAAGCGACAGACCGAAGAGTTAGGCGCCGAAGCAGCTAGTAGCGACATTGCCGCCACGGGCTCGTGGGAATTGGTGGAGGCCCGGACCGGCGAGTTCTGGCGGATGGCAGCCGTTGAGGACCACTGGCGCAAGACCCCCCACTTCGCCGAGCTGATCTTCCGCGAGATACCGGAAGAGTCGTCCCGGGTGGCGGGATTCCAGACCGAAAAACCTGGATACCACCCTCATCGCTTTCGACTCCCTGGCCTTGATTGAGGAAGTACCGGGGGCCGAGCTGATGCGCCTCTCCGGAGGCGGCGAGGCCGCGGTAACCTTCTACGGGCAGTACTATGTCGGTATCGGCACCGAAGACCAACAGCCCGGCTACGATCCGGACCTGCCCTGGGTGTCAGCCAACCCCGATCTGGATTCCGAAGAGTGGAAGAACGCAGTTAAAGTTCGCACCGCGCTGTCGATCGCCATAGACCGGCAGGGCATCGTGGACACCCTGCTGCACGGATACGGCAGTCCGGCGGTGCTGTGGGACTTCGGCCGGTACGAAGACTCCTGGCTGCCTCCGGAACTGCGTTGGGAATTTAACCCGGAGAAAGCCACGCAGCTTTTGGCCGAGGCCGGTTATCCCGACGGCTTCACCATTACGCTAACCCCGTCCCTACGAGGCGCGCCGGTTGAGGTGGAAGCCTGCGAAGCCATTGCCACGATGTGGGCCGACATCGGCGTGGACGTAAAGTTCCAGCAGCTTCCGTACTCGGCCCTGCGTCCGAGCTTGATCGCCCGAACCTATCAGGGTTCGACATGCCACGCCGGCAGCATCAGGCTGGAGCCTGGCCAGGGCTACTCTGGCATGCTGTCGCAGTTGCACTACCAGGCCGTTTGGAACCGGGGCGTGGAACACCCAAGGCTCGATGAAAAAGTTTCGGCTCACATGGCTGAAGTGGACTCGCCAAAACGCCGCGAACTGGCCATCGAAATAGCCACGTTCCTGTTCGAGAACGCCGTTACCGCGGTTGGGCTCTACAACTTCGACGTGGTGTGGCCGGTGGGTCCCAACATCCAGCCGTGGTCCGAAGGCGTGCGGTACCGGGATATTCGCAACATCAACGGCTACGAGTTCATTCGGGCACGATGATAGTCGCGGCAAGAGCAGGTTAGAGGCGACGTTGATATGGTGTGGCACAAGGCAGGAATTTCGGTTGTGTTGCGGACCTTGTTTGGATTGCCGCTGGCGGCAGTCCTGGCGGTTATCGGGATGGCTATAGCATCGGCGATGTCGGTATTCTTTGGAGTCGCGTCCCTGACCAACCTGCTCACGCTCTTGATGATCGGGGCTGGAATCGGCGCCGGGATTGGCGCGGGAGTGATGATGCTGAGGGTAGACGCGATACCGTCCTGGTGGGTGTTGCTGGCCGCGGGCGTGGTTCTCGTCGCGTTGAGCGTCGTGGGCGGCTGGGTGGGTTTCCAGATCGGGGACATGATCTCCGCAATCGAGGACGCCAACTGTGTGGGAGTGTGCGGGTACTTGTTCAAACCGCGAACGTACATCGCCCTCGGCGCTGCGCTCGTACCCAATTGCATCTCGCTGGTGTTCAACATTGCATACGAAGGAGGGTTCGGACGCAAGGCCCCGTTCAAGCCGCGGGTCGCCCGATCAACGGGCGGCGCCAGCGAGGTCCAGCATCGCTGACCGCCGCCGCCGTGGTCTCGGATATTCGGCTCAAGGCGGGCCGAACGGGGCCCCTCTGGGCACTACGGCATCAGGCGCCACACCATAAACAACCACGTGGCCGCAAATTGTAGACGGAACCCGTCCGTGAGGGAGTGAATTATGCAACGGTATCTGTTGCGGCGCATCCTGCTCGCAATGATAACTCTGTTGGCCGTGTCTCTGATCATTTTCGTGATGAGCCGGGCGGCAGGGGATCCTCGACATATCTATCTGGACGACTATTCGACCCAGGAAGACTGGGACCGGCTCACGGAAAGCCTGGGGCTGAACAAGCCGTATTACCAACAGTACGGGATATTCTTGGGCAGCGCGCTGAAGGGCGACTTTGGGGAGTCCATCAAAGAGGGCCGGCCCTCTATGGAAGTGATAATCGAACGGGTCCCCGCTACTCTGCAACTTGGCCTGGCCGCCTTCGCCTTCTCTGTGATAGTGGGAGTGCCCCTTGGGATACTTTCCGCGGTGAAGCGAGGTAGCTTCCTAGATATGTCCGGGAAGATAGTTGCTCTGATAGGGCAGTCGGCGCCTGTGTTCTGGCTGGGGCTGATGTTGATGTTCATTTTTGCGGTGCGGCTGCAGTGGCTGCCGCCCTACGGCCGACAGGAGATTGCCAGCATTGTGTTGCCGGCAGTGGCGCTGGGGTGGTTTTACGCGGCGGCCAACTTGCGCCTGCTGCGTTCCGCCATGTTAAACGTGCTGGACTCCGAATACGTGAAATTGGCGCGGGCCAAAGGCGTATCCAACAATATCGTTATCTGGAAACATGCCTTGCGCAACGCACTGGTCCCGGTGTTGACATTCGCCGGGATCACACTTGGCAGTCTGGTAACCGGTTCTGTGGTCGTGGAAACTGTGTTCGCCTGGCCTGGGTTGGGCCAACTGGCGATCCAGGCGCTGGCCGGTAACGACTATCCGCTGCTCCAGGCCGTGGTGATAGTGTTCACGCTGATGTACGTCACCGCGGCTATGTTAGTGGACATTATGTACGCATACATTGATCCAAGGATCAGGTACGCATAAGGGAGGCGAGTATCGTGGCAGCAGAAGCAACTCTGGTAGTCCAGCCGGCGCCGGTCTCGGTCCGCATCGCCAGGAGGGCCTGGCGTTTGAGGCGGTGGCCACTGATTCCCATGCTCATATTGGTTATTTTCGTCCTCACGGGAGTGTTTGCGCCCCTGATCGCCCCACACGACCCCGAACGCGGCAACCTTCGGGAACGCAACCTGCCGCCGTCATGGGAAGAGGGGGGAAGCTCCGAATTCTTTTTGGGGACCGATCATCTGGGTCGCGACATGCTGAGCCGGGTCGTATTCGGCGCCCGCATTTCCCTCGCGGTGGTTGCGGTAACTTTGGGAGTGGGGATGGGCGTCGGCGTGGCCTGTGGATTGGTAGCCGGATGGTACGGCGGCTGGATCGACGAGCTGCTGATGAGAGTGGTGGATATAAAGTTGGCCATACCGACTATTTTGCTGGCTTTGGTGTTGGTCTTGGCTCTGGGCCAATCATTCATGATCATCGTGGTGATCCTGGCTATTGCTGTCTGGCCACGGTTTGCTCGCAACGTGCGAGGCGAGGTTCTGCAACTGAAAACAATGGACTTCGTCGCCCTGGCCAAGGTGGCGGGGGCGTCAACCCCGCGAATATTGTTGATGCACATTTTCCCTGGCGTGATCAATACGCTGATCGTCCTGGCGACGCTGGAGGTCGGCATAGTCATCCTTCTGGAGTCTACCCTCAGCTTCCTGGGAGCGGGCGTGCCTCCGCCGACCCCGGCATGGGGATCGATGGTGTCCGACGGCCGCGACCGCTTGGCGGTGGCGTGGTGGATATCCACTATGCCGGGGCTCGCCATAATGTGCACGGTGTTGTCGATGAACCTGTTTGGCGACTGGCTTCGGGACCGTTTGGATCCCCGGCTACGACAGCTGGGTTGATCGTGTCCAATCAAGGATCAGAGCGTTTGACGTCGTCCCACGTGTGAGCAGGCGGAAAGATGAGCACAAGTAAAACGGTCAACAATAACCCGGTGGTTTTGCAAGTCGAAGGGTTGAAAACCTACTTCGAAACCCGTTGGGGTACTGTCAAGGCGGTGGACGGGGTCAGCTTCGATTTGAAAAAGGGTGAGACCCTGGGGATCGTGGGGGAGTCAGGATCTGGCAAGTCGGTGACCATGTTGTCAGTGATGCGGTTGATCCCGAGTCCTCCCGGTCAAATCGTGGATGGCCGGGTCTTGCTGGAAGGCCAGGATCTGGTGCCGTTGTCCGACAAGGAAATGAGCGAGATCCGGGGTAGCCAGATTGCGTTGATCATCCAGGATCCGATGACATCGCTAAACCCCGTTTTTTCCATCGGTAACCAGGTGGGAGAGGCCATCAAAATCCACCAGGACATCCCTAAGGGCACGTTAGTCCAGCGGGTGCTGGACGTGTTGAGGAAAGTGAACATCCCTGCCGCCGAGACGCGGGTCAGGGACTATCCTCATCAGCTGAGCGGTGGGATGAGGCAGCGTGTCGTGGGGGCCATTAGCATATCCTGCGAGCCCATGGTCCTGATCGCCGACGAACCGACCACGTCCTTGGACGTAACTATCCAGGCGCAGTACCTCAAATTGTTGAAGGAACTGCAGGAAGCTTCGGACATCGCGCTTATATTTATCACGCACGACTTCGGTATCGTCGCCAAGATGTGTGACCGCGTCGCTGTAATGTACGCGGGCAAGATCGTCGAGATGGGGGACGTTCGCGACATATTCAACAACCCGTCGCATCCTTACACCGAGGCGTTGTTGGCGTCAGTCCCTAAGCTCGAAGAGGATGTGGACCGGCTGTATTCGATCGAAGGCCATCCGCCTACGCTTCACGACCTGCCACCCGGCTGCCCGTTCGCACCCAGGTGTCAATACGTGATGGACAAGTGCTCTGAGGCCTATCCGCCTGAGTTCAATATCACAGATGGTCACCATGCGGCTTGCTGGAGGTTGGAATGACTACTTTGGATGCCAGGCAGATGGCAGACACCAAAACCGAGGTGCTGCTTGAAGCTGAAGGCTTGAAAAAATACTTCCCGGTAACTAAGGGTCTGCTGATCTCCAAAATAACCGGATGGATCAAAGCGGTGGACGGTGTTTCGTTCCAGATCCGGGCCGGAGAGACCCTCGGTATCGTGGGCGAATCCGGCTGCGGCAAGAGCACCACGGCAAAAATGCTCCTCATGCTGGAAGACCCCACGGAAGGCACAATACGCTACCAGGGCAAGGATATCCAGAACGCCACCTCCGATGAGCGTCGAGCGTATCGGAGTTCGGTCCAAGCCGTCTTCCAGGATCCCTGGAGCTCATTGAACCCCAGAATGCGAGTCCGCGACATTATCGCCGAGCCTATGGTCATAAACCTCAACCTCAGCAGGAGCGAGATGCAGGACCGCGTCGCCAAATTGCTGGATGACGTGGGCTTGAGCAGTTATCACGCCAATCTGTATCCCCACGAGTTCAGTGGAGGACAGCGCCAGCGCCTGGCGATTGCGCGGGCATTGTCGGTGGAACCGCGGGTCATCGTGCTGGACGAACCGGTCTCGGCGTTGGACGTTTCAATCCGCGCCCAGATAATGAACCTGCTCAAGGACCTGCAGCAGGAGTATAACGTTAGCTACCTGCTCATCGCCCACCATTTGGCCACCGTCCGATACATGTGCGATTGGGTCGCCGTGATGTATTTGGGGCAGATTGTAGAGTTCGGACCGACCAGGGAACTGTTCGAAAACGCGTCGCATCCTTATACCAAGGCGTTGATGAACGCGGCGTTGCCCTCCCATCCGGACATCGAACAGGAGGAAATGATACTGACCGGTGAGGTTCCGTCGCCCCTGAACCCTCCGGAGGGGTGCCATTTCCACCCCAGGTGCCCGTTCGTGATTGCCCAGTGTTCGACCGAAGTTCCCGAGGTACGAGAAATCGCCCCCGGGCACGTAGTTTCTTGCCACCTTTACTGACTGGTCTGTTAGGTACATTTCACAAACCGATTCCACGCCCAGGATGTTCAAAAGATGGTAGTAAGGCATTGACGTCGGTCTTGCGGCCAGACACGTTCTTGATGCGCCTGGGTCCACCAGCATTGCCTCAAACCCCCGCTCTTCCAGCACTCCAAACAGTGGAATCCAATACACGCCGCTGGAATTCATGACCACGGTTGCCACCTCGCACTTGGCCAGCCAGTCCGCCAAACGATACAGGTCACGCGTGTAAGCGTCGAACTCCCGCACCGCCGGCCGCGCGGTCTTGGGACTCTACTGAAGTGGCTGCTGGCGCCTACATCAATCCCTGCCGCGTTTAGATTTACCCGGGACAGTTCGGCAGGCAGCCGCTGGCGTCTCTTTTCGCTTTCGCCAGTAGAGTCCCAGGAAAGTGGTGTTAAGAGTTAGGTGGTTGGCCAAAAGCTGACCACCGCGTCATCCTTGGTGCTAACAACAACGCAATCAAGGAGAACGACAGTGGTTAAACAGAGCATGGATCTTTTGGAAATTATTGCGCAAGCGCGGTATGGACGGAGACGTGGACTTTCTGCGAGAAGCCTTGCGCGTCCTGGTGGACGGCATCACGGACGCCGAGGTATCTGCCCAGATCGGCGCTGAGCACTGTTATCGCCGACGTTAAAATGTGCAAAAACGCCGCAATGGAATTGACCCATCCGAAAGTAGTGGCATTATCTGCGGACACTCCGTGGAGGTGCGTCAAACAAATTGCTAAAGGTGGGTCAAGTGAAAGAGAT